TCTATATTGTTATAAATAGTTAGAATAGACGTATTAGAATTAAGATTTATTTTAGTATTATAATAATGAGCTTGCCCCAATAGGATTACATATGTATCCTTAGAAATATAAGGGTCTCTACACATTGTAGAATATCTAATTCCAGCACACTAATCTTTCTCTCTCTATGCTCTTTCTCTCTTAATCTCTACATGATATCAAAGCTTTCTAGGTTCTTTCCTTGGTCGCTACCACTGCACCACCACCGCGTCACTGCTGAAAAAAAAAAAACAGCAGCTTTAGAAAAGGCCAACCATGGCTACTGTGGGGATGAAATTTTTTTTTGATGACCAGAATCTGCAGTAATTCAATGTTTACAATTTGAGTGCGGCGTTACAATGTCTGAATGTGATAGCCAGGATGTGCAGGATGCACAACACAAGGAGACTGTTACAGAGATTGTATCTCTATCCAAACTTACCAATGTTAAGCTGGATGAAGATGGTACGAACTATATGGAGTGGAAGTATTTGGTTGAGATTAGCTTGGGTGGAATGAGAAAGGATAATCATTTGACTGAAACAGCACCTGTCAATTCTAAGAATGTTGACACATGGAAGATACGGGACAAAAAGATCCTTACGTTGCTAGTAAACTCTGTTGATAGGCAAATACAAGCAATTACTACCCATTGCAAAATTGTGAAGGAGTTGTGGGATTTTTTACAATTTATTTTTGGAAAATCTGATAATTTAAATCAATTATATGCTCTATTGCAGGAAGTTTATTGACCCAAACAAAATAAGTAGAAGCTAATGGATTATTTTTTGGAGTTTAAGAAGCATACTGAGGAGATACAATCTCTTTTAGCCTGTAAAACTATTGACAAGATGATAGCGCAACAAAAGAAACTCATGGCTTTAAGTTGGCTCTCCAGACTTGATTTGGAATATGAGGTAGTTCAGTCTCAGATTCTATCAAGCAAGCAAGTTGATAATCTCATCGATGTCTTCTCCAAAGTTATGCAATCTTCCTTTGAGGAGCTCAAGAGCACTACAGAAAATGAGTCTCCTGACCACTCTGCCTTGGCAGTCCAATACGGTCACCATGGTGGTCGCAATGGTGGTAGAGGTAGTTGTGGTTGTGGGCATAGTGAAGGTCATGGTATTGTACAGTGCTACAACTATGGCGAATTTGGCCATTATCAGAATCAGTGCACTCATCCTCCGTAAAATTAGTCATTTTTCACTCACAAGGTAATTCCTGCTTCGCTAACTCAGTGTTTCAACCTGATATAGCTACTCAGGAGAAAGAAAGACGTATTGTGCGTATGAGTGATAAGAAATTTATTTAGTATACTCAATTTCAGATTTTCCAACACCCTTCTACATCCTCTACAGCCACTTTGGTTCAAAAAGGTAATCCTACTGCATATCTTTCCTTTTCTTCCAAGCGTTGGGTCATTAATTTTGGCGCAACTGATCATATGACTGGGGATTCAGGTATCCTTTTCTCTTTTTGTCTACCCAGTTCTCGTTCTTCTGTAACACTCGCTGATGATTCTACTGTTCATATTAAGGGCAGCGGGTGTACTACCTCAGTTTCAACCTTACTTTTATCCTCTGTTTTATATTTGTCTCAATTTCATTTAAATTTATTGTCCATTAGCCAAATCACTTCATCATTAAATTGCTCAGTAACATTCTTTTTTTATTCTTTTATTTTTCAGGATTTAGGGACATAGAGGGTTATTGGTAAAGGTAGGGTATCTAATGGGTTGTATCTATTGGAAGAAGAAGGACTTCCGCAAGCTTCTATTGCGTCTAGGAATGAAACAATATCTCCTTTCCAACTTCATTACCGTTTGGGTCATCCGTTTTTAGGCTTAGGAAATTATGTCCTAGTATAGAGTCTAATTTTTATTGTGAGTCATGTTAGTTTGCTAAATATCATCGTAATGTTTATTTACCTCGTTTAAATAAAAGGGCTTATGTCCTCTTTGAAATTGTTCATTCTGATGTTTAGGGCCTTTGCCCAGTTACTTCTAAATCTAGTTTTAAATATTTATTACCTTTGTGGATGATTATTCTCATGCAACATGGTTGTTTTTTATGAAGTCTAGATCTGAATTCTTTTTTATATTTTGTAATTTTTGTGCTGAAATTAAAACTTAATTTAATACTTGTGTGTGCATTCTTAGAAGTGATAATGCTAAAGAATATTTTTTTGCATCTTACACTAATTTTATGAGTAGACATGACATACTTTATTAGTCTTCTTGTATTATTACCCCACAACAAAATGGAGTAGTTAAACGTAAAAATCATCATCTTATGGAGGTAACCCGTGCTTTACTGTTTGAAATGAAAGTTCCTAAAATTTTTTGGGTTGATGTTGTTCTTACTACTGCATATTTAATTAATCGCATGCCATCATGTATCATCTGTGTTACATGGAGAGATTTCCTACTCTATACTTTTCCCATCACAATCTCTCTTTTCTTTACCTCATAAAGTTTTTGGCTATACTTGTTTTGTGTTTGATGTTCGTCCTTAGGTAACTAAACTTGATCCAAAGTCTCTTAAATGTGTGTTTTTGAGTTATTCTCGGTCATAAAAAGCTTACCGTTGTTTTTCTCCCGATCTTAGTTGTTATCTTATTTCCTCTTATGTGTCTTTCTTTGAAGGTCTTTCATTCTTTAAGTCCTCATCTTTTGAGTCCTTCTTGACTTATACTTTTGTCCAATCTAAACATCTTGTTGCACCTCTGACTTCTATTGATACAGGTTTCAAGTTCTTTGAGCGAACATACTCTCGCTGGCCAAAACAGCCTTTAGATGATGTGCCCCTCGTGGCTAATGATATTCAAGATGATACTCAACCTCGACCATTATCTCCTCAAGTGTCAATAAATCATATGTCTGACCTTGACCTTTCTATTGCTATCCAAAAAGGTAAGAGATCTTGCACATATCTTATTTCTTCTTATGTGACGTCTGCTTATTTATCCTTTACATCTAAATCCTTCATGGCTGGTGTAGATTCTCTCTTTGTTCCTAAGACCTTGCAGATGCCCTCAGTCATGATGGTTGGAGTCATGCTATGGAGGAAGAAATTTTGACTCTTGAGACGAATGATACTTGAGATTTGGTTCCTCTTCTCGAGGGCAAACAGGCTATTAGTTGTAAGTGAGTTTACACTATGAAAGTTAATCTGGATAGTTGTGTGGCTTGTTTGAAGGCATGCCTTGTTGCAAAAAGGTATGCCCAAACTTACAGTGTTGACTACACTGATATGTTCTCTTCAGTTGTTAAACTTTCATCTATTCGTATCTTCATCTCTCTTGCGGCTATGCATCATTGGCCATTATTTCAGCTAGATGTTAATAATGAATTCTTACATGGAGACTTACAGGAGGAGATGTATATCAAGCAAACACCTGGCTTTGTTGCTTGGGGGGAGCGTGAAAGAATATGTCGTTTAAAGAAGTTATTATATGGCTTGAAACAATCACCTAAAGCATGGTTTGATAGATTCAGTTACGTGATTTTGAAATTTGGATTAGTGAGGAGTGAGAGTGAGCATACAGTGTTTTATAAACAGCTAACTACGGTTATATTTTACTTGTTGTTTATGTTGATGATATTGTTATTACATGCAGCGACAAAGAAGAAATTAGCAACCTAAGAAAATTTCTTCAAACCAAGTTTCAGACAAAAGACTTAGGAATTCTAAAATACTTCTTGGGTATTGAAGTCATGTACTCCAAGCAAGGAATCTTCCTTTCATAAAAAAAAATATGTCTTAGACTTATTGACTGAGATCGGACTAAAAGGAGCTAAACCATGTGAGATACCTATGGAGCTAGAAGCTAGAAGTGAACTGACAGCAAATGGAGTTCTTTTTGCAGATCCACAGAAATACAGAAGATTAGTAGGGAAGCTAAATTACTTGACTGTCACAAGGTCGGATATTGCTTTTCCAGTGAGTGTTGTTAGCCAGTTTATGTCATTTTTGACAAATATGGGAAGCACTAATCCGCATTGTGAAGTATTTGAATAAAGCACGAGGAAAAGGAATTGTGTACAAAGATCATGTACATGCACAAATAGAGGCATTTTCTTATGCTAATTGAGCAGGATCTATGGACAGAAAATCTACTACTGGATACTATGTGTTCTTGGGAGGTAATTTAATTTCATGAAAAAATAAGAAGCAGAAAGTTGTTTTGAGATCAAGTGCAGAATCAGAATACAGGACAATGACTCAAACTACTTGTGAGTTAATGTGGTTGAAACATATGCTGGAAGAGATAAGATTTGGTAGTACTAAACCTATGCAACTTTAGTGTGACAACCAAACAGCGATACACATTGCCTCAAATCTAGTTTTTCATGAACGGACGAAACATATTGAGATAGATTATCACTTTATTTAAGAAAAAGTTCAACAGAAGCTTATATCCATATCTTATGTTAGGACAGACGACCAACTAGTAGATGTGTTTACAAAAGCTTTAAATGGAATACATAACAATTATATTTGTAATAAGTTGGACATGATTAATATCTATACTCTATCTTGAAAGGGAATGTTATAAATATTTAGAATAAACGTATTAGAATTAAAGTTTATTTTAGTATTATAATAATAGACTTGACCTAATAAGGTTACATATGTATTCTTATAAATATAAAGATATCTACACATTATAAAATATTCAATTCTAAAATACTAATCTTTCTTTCTATATGCTCTTTCTCTCTTAATCTCTACATATATCTTCTTTTCTTTGTCTCTTTCTCCATCTCCCTTTCTTTTATCCCTAGCTAAACATATTGGATAAATAAGGTGTAAAATTTGGCTATTTTTGGGACAGAAACAAAAATATGTCCGTCCTTGTTAGTATTACGATATGACCAAGTGACGTAACTATACTTCATTCGCAAAATTTCGGAAGATGTACTAGATTGGTAATGAGTTTAAACATAATCCAAATCTGAAAATATAGCTATGCTAGTACAAGGGCCAATCTGAACCTGTTTTACTTGACATTGACAAAGAATGCTCACAAAACCAACACAAAAATGAGAATCGGAAAGCAAGTAATATCATATTGCCGTTCTAACAATTAGAAAATTATCGAACATTCAAAATTCACGAATAAATATTCTCCCCCGCTAAAAAGCCTTCATTTTCTCTTAAGATGCAAGAGAAAATGAAGGGGCTTCCTCGGTTACTTAAGTATGACTTTTATGCAGGGCTTCTTCAGGTAACAAAACCCTGAAAACAGCATAATGATGATTTAAGCTCTTCTCTCCTTGTAATCTGTGAACACTACCCAAGGCACCGGCATTAGGATTTGGAAAAGCATAGAATATTCGCCTAATTCTCTGATGGACAAGGGCCATTGCACACCTGACATTATAGTGGAAGGCAAATTTAGATAAATATCTCAGAAATCAACTACTCTGGAAGAAGTATTTAACTATCTGAAAGTGAAACTTCACATAAAAGGAGAATCAGAAATAAAAAATTTCTCTCATTCTATGAATCAAAAAAGGGATTCCCTTCAAAGGAACACGGCATTCAACAGAGACAGAAGTGACTCAATATAGAAGTATTTTGTCTATCAGCTTACATTGTGCATGGTTCCCAAACAAGGTATATGTCATAGCCAGTGCACAAGTATGGTCGTGCTTGCAGCTGATCAGAAGTCTGACCATGAGAATTCAATTTATCATCATCCTCACCCTGAAATGTCATAATTCAATACCAAAATAAAGCTTTTAACATAACATACTAAATTGAAAATGATCAACAATATAATCAAGGGAAATGCCATTGCATATGTATTTTATGTTTGCATATTGCCAATACTGAATTTGGTTGAGATGCTTCAACAGGTCTAGATTATCTACAAGTAATTGTCATAGTTTTCCATTTGAACCATTATTCTGACAGTTGTCACAAAGATGATATACATGTTAAGTAAATGCACAGTTCTACCTTCTTTGCCCTTGGCACAATATCTACTCATTCAAATGATATTGCAAACCTAATAATAATATAATTCAGGAAGTCCATGATCTATCAAGGTCATAGGAAAACCTTCATAGAATTTCCTACAGAACAAGTTACAACAAACTAAGAAACTAACTACTGGAGTTTAAGATGTTCTTAATATTTTTAGTGGCATGGTTAACATTTCTTATGGGCAGCTGCAAACAAATTAAATTATACACCAGCCAGGTTCCTTAAATATACCCGATAGTAGGTAAACTTACATTTGTACATGCAGTTTTCTGTCTCTTTGCAGGAGAGCTAGTCCAAGAAGAATTCTGGCGATCCAATTCCAAATATTTTTCTTCACTGTTCCCCTCACTGGGAAAAAGACATCTATCCCTGGCAGCAGATGATTCTATAGCTACAATGGCAGCATGTTGCAAAGGGTGCAAATAATTTGAGCTCTGCAAATGATATTTCTTCTGAGCCCATTGCCAAGGATATAAACAAGCAACACCTGTATATGGTTGTTTGAGCTGTTTGGAGGAACTGTTTAAGTGCAATGGTTCTTGAGGATCAAATCTACTGGAAATAATAGAAGGGGAACTAAGTTCTGGCTTTCTAGAGCAGCTATTGTCTTTGCAATTGTTCCACGCATAAACCTGATCACGTGCACTTGAAATTAGTTGCTTAGCTGAGGGATCCACAATCAATGCAGCATTGACTACCTAAACAGATCAATTTTTTGGTAAGCAGCAGTTGAATGTTAAATCCAATAGTAGGACACTTTAACCAAAGCTAGCCTTTAATAATCAAAGGATACAACAATAACAACAACAACAACTAAGTCTTATCTGACCCGGTGAAGTTGGCTACATAAATCACACGATGCTTTGAGCTCGGTCAAAAATTAAACTTTTAGAAATTTGATTAATCAAACAATTTCTTTTAATAACTTCATCTAACGTTCTTTGGGTCTCCTTTGACTTCTCTTTATTGGAGTAAGAGTCATGCAATCTACTTTTCTTACTGATGTCTCCAAAAGTCTTATTTGAAAATGGTCAAATCACTTTAAACGATTTTCAATTATCTTTTCCATTATAGGTGCAACTCCAATATTCTCTCAATAGAGGGTAAGCAAGGGATAGAGGGATAAACATCAAAATAACTCAAGCAATTACTTTCTTAAGAGAAAAATAATGAGAAGAAAAGCAAAATAAATTTCCAGTCAGGTATGAAGGGTTATTTGATATGCACAAATTGTATGAAAAAGGCAAAACTTGAACATTTACCAAGTCATCAGATGTTGCCAACTCAACAGTTGATTGCATAAACTTTAAAATTGACTGCGAGTCCTCCTCGCTAAATCCAGTAATGCCATCAATGTTGCTGTAATTTGATTAAAAAAGTCAACCCAATATTACATGCAAAGTTTGCTATTACCATAGCAAGGTTGTGTGTTCTCATCCAGTAAGATTATTAACAAAAAGAAACATATAGGATGTTGAGATGTACAACCTATGTCATCGACAAAATTTCACTTGCCCAAAAAAAAAGTAAAATCAGCACGTTTAATGTGTTGGGTAAAATTCGATGATGATCAGATCAGGATTTTTCCTGTGTCAAATTGATGTAAAATTATAATATCTTAATGCATCAGAAGGTCCAAAAATGCACCCTACCTACTCCAATATTTACACAGCCAAATTTCAAAAAAATCCCCTTTGGTCCTTTCCCGGTCAAAATTTAAACTCCACTAGTTTTACCCAAAGAATATACAATGCTTACATACATTGAATAAAATTTTCATTCAAACTACTGGCAAACATACATATCAAATAGACAGACTATAATTACAAGAAATATCATGAAAATGTAAACAAGCTTAGGTTGCATATGAAAACTGAAAACAATAATTACACACGGCATATTATAAAAACAAGGGTGCTCAAATCACTTTATTATTTTCATCTAGGAGGCATTAGTAGATTCATACCAACTGTATGTATTACTAAGCCAACTAGACATACTTGCTAGCTTGTGATTCATAGATATAATCTTTTATAATAAGTGTCTTGCCAATCAGCTCATCAAGTTGAAGGAAGTATTCCTTGGAATCTTATTTAACAGTACATGTCATTTTGAAAAGCATTGTTTAATTCATCAGATGAAAGATTTCATATATATAATACAAGTACTTTCATATACTTATATGGAACCAAAAGTTTTGGAATGTTGATAAAAGGCAGCAATGACATTGCCAATAAAATAAATAAAAGGATAGTAATATGAAACTTACTAAGTCCTTGGGTGATAGGATGTTGGCCAAAATTTGCATTGTTCTTGCCACTCTTCTTTTGACGTTGCAGCATATTTGCAGACCTAAAATTTATTAAATTCAAATTTAATGCACAAACTAACTTACGCAAACACAACTAGGACCAAGAGTCCACAGGATTCCAACTAAGACTCAACAATCTTAGTCTTCCTTGACAGTGAAACCCTAAAAATGATCATTTAAATACCAAGCCCTAGAGCTAGCCACACAGCCACACATATCATTTGATCTACACCAAAAGCTACAACTTCATTCACTTATAAACTATGACTCCCGACATTAAGGTTTTGTTGTTTCTTTTAAATTGATGATTTAGTTAGTTAGCTTGACATGAAATCAAAATGAAGAAAAAATGTTGGTGCTTCAAAATTAAATTTTAATGATTAATGTAGTAACATATACTAAACAAAGTTATTTACATGAAAAGGACATCAGATTGCTTTGCAGCTTCATCACAACCACAATAATGAAACCAGATCAAGTCAAAACTTGTAATATTGTTTAGAAATCAATATCAAAATTTGATAAATTTTTTTATCTTATATCTTCCTGGGATCAAACCATAATCTACGCAAGCATTAACTAGTGCAAAAAGAAATGCAAAAATAACAAAGACCCACTTTTGTGATAAAAGGACTCAACTGATAGGAACTGATCAACTCCTGAAGATGCGGAGGCACACTATCCAATTGATTGTCACCTTCAGAGGCTAGACACAAGATCACCGATAGCTGTATTTGTCCTGTCAAACAATCACAGTGTCACCAGCAACTGACTTGGCCCATAAGCCATAGCTCATATTAACAGGGAATAAAGCAATGTAACTATATGTCAACTGCAGGTAACATTTTGCCTTTATGTTCTAAAGCAAAGAAGATCTAGCTCCAAGGGCAACAATGTAAAATGCTTGGTGTTAGTTAAACCATGAATTACTTGGTATTTATTTATATATCTCTTCAGTTCAATTGGATCATGGACAAAATTCCATAACAGTTGATTTTGGTTTCTCGGGATTGTAGGTTTTGTAGTACACACACACATATTCCAATAACATTGTTTCACAGCCAAGAATCTTTTCTCTTTCTGTTGTCACTAACTTTAGCACCTAGTTGGGAGAGTTTGATCATTTCTTTCAGGATTTAGCTTCTCTGAAGTGAGAGATGCACTCTAGAAGTGACATGCAGAGTTATAACCATCAACAGTTGAAATTATGATAAAATATATACACCAGTTTTAAAAATTATGAATTTATTAAAATCTCAACCCTTAATTTTCCAATTGAGGATTATAACTTTGCACTTTATCCTTTAAAGTAAACCCCACTGGCCCTCACTCCATAGAGTCGATTCCACTCTCTTAAATGGTCTTGTAAAGAATCACCACACAATCAATCCCATTTGTATCAGAAAAATTGCTTGCTTGCATAAATAGTGATTTTAAATATTTTGGCACCTTGGCTACATGAGAAGCTAAGTTATCAATCCTACAAGTACATGGTATCTTCCAGTATCTAAAGCAATTTATATGAGATTCTTTTTTTTCTACAAAGAAAACTATGTTTTCAATTAAAAATATGTTTAAAACAGTTATAAAAAACACAAGTTTTCAAAATAAAATAAAATCCTAATGTAATATTTTTAATAATTTTTTTTATAAACCAAAATTTATAACTTTAGAAGAAAACTCTAAATTACAAAATTAAATTGATTTTAAGTTGAAGCAAACAGATCTAATTTTTCATTTTCTTAAAAGTGAGAAAAAGAAAAGAATATTTTTCCTCACAAATAATATGAGGGGGAAAGAAAAGAGTTTCAACAATGATATCCATCCACCTCCTTCAAGAACTTTCTTCTGAATTCGTTTCACATGACGGAGATCTTCGAGTGGAGCTATTTGATTCAAACGCCTAACAAAAAATATTTAAGCAGCTTCCATAGATCAGTTCACAAAGCACACATAGCTGAAGCAAAGACAGCAAGATTTTGGTGAAGAGTGGGGGTTAACCTCAAAATTTGGTTGGCATGCTTAGGGTCAATGGCCGAAGCAAAAATACACACTGCACAGAAACAAAGCACCACTTTTTCAATTAAGTGAATTTCAACAAGAAACGAAAAGCTCCTAGTAAAGGGTTTTGGTAACATGACCAGTGGGTTGGTGGTGAAGGTCATGAGGCTGCTTGTCTGGGACATGTACAATCAAGTGGTTATTCATCGTTTTCAGTTCTTGTTCTGCTTCCCCTGGAATTCGACGTTGAATAGAGCTGTCAGCCAGGTTAGCTCAACATTGTGAAAAAATTCAACCAAAACGGTATGGGTCAGTTTAGTTGCAAGGCCAAATTCAGCCAACCTGACTCAACCCACATAGGCGGTAAGTGAAATGGATTGGTTCAACATAATCAAAGAAAACAACTAAAAAATAAACAACATAAAACAAAACAAAAAGAAGATAAAATATAAAACCAAACAATCATTAATTTTTGACATTATGTTAGAAAATTTTGACAAATGCATATTTAAATAATACTCGGCTCTGCAGAAAACAAAACCAGTACCAAAAAATAGTATGGTGATATAAGAAAAAAAAAATGAAGAATAAATTAATTTTCCAACAGATTCTTAGATTACATCACGTCATGTAACTTTGACAAAGTTTACTAAAATGAACAAAGTTATTGTAGTAGAATGATCACGGTGCTTAATAGCATTTTGTTCAGTACTCTGTATGATTATATTTTACATGGGAAAATGCCAGAGGTAAAGGCACGCATTCTTTCGCACTGGCACTCATTATAACATATGTCCATTTCTCAAAAATCAGTCGTAGTATCATGGATTTCCTCCTCCTAATCCATCTTTGAGAATTTTCAGTAAAAAAAAAATTATCCAGCAGCATCACAAATTAAACGATAGGTGGTATTATCTGCAATCTAGAAAAAAGAAGAGAGTTGTACTAATGCAATGTCAAATACATCGAGTAAAGTAAAGAGATTGTACATGACTTAGAAGCTTCATCAAATCCAATTTAGGAGAGTATGAAAAAATACATCGTGTAAATTACGAGGTGAGCAACAAGGAGACTTGGTAGTCGCTACACTATACTCTACTAGTTCGAGTAAATTTGTGGTCATCTAAAATATATCACAACCCACAACCAATTTTCACACTACAACACCAATAAATTATCATAAGTAAATAGAACCAATTCAACATCGTTGAACTGTTTTCGTAATCAGCATCGTTCATGGCTAAACTATGGGCGGAACATTTAAAAGTTAAAGCCAATGATAACAGTCAGCAAAAAGACATAAAGCACGACGGATGCCAACATCGTGGTAACAAAAGTATTAGGGGAAGGCTTCAGGTTCAGAAAACATCATTATAGGTGAACGATGAAAGCCAATGGAGAACAGAAAATGAATTGCGCATGAAATACCTTAAGTGTGCGTAACTCTTCCCTAGCCGTGTAGTTCACACTGAGTCTCTGAAGGAGGAAGAAGGTCGGAAATCGCGCCGGCGCCGTCGTCGCCAACGGTGAGGAGAGTGCGGTGCGGCGTCGAGGTCGCAGATGGATGGGGAGGCTGCCTGTGCGTGTGTTACAGTTGGGGAAGAATGAGTGTGTAAAAAATGGCTAAGCCCGATTCGCTTGGACTCGGCCATTATCATATGGCCCAATAGCTTAGTCATTGGCGTGTCAGACCCAAAAAAAATGCATTTTCTCATAAAGACTGGATTGATTTCGTAGTTAACTTCGTTTCATGTTGTTGGTTTTTCTCTTTTAAGATTTATTTTTATTTTGTAAAGGTGAAAAAAATTTATTGGAAACTGTAACAATACTTCCTTCCATGATTTTCAATACAATTGTTCTATTTTTAAAAAAAAAATTGTAAAATTTAATGCCCATTGGTTTAATGTTCCTTTGTAAAGAGCTTGATTAGTTTGTCGTTAAGAAGCTTTGAAATCAATTTTCGACGAATAATAAAAAAAAAAAAAACACAGCCGTAAAACTTTTACTTTAATTCACGGCCATCGTTGGATTTGTTTGAGTAAACTTTATTGCATTGATTCAACGCAAATACAGATGGAGACAAACTTGAACTATTGAAAGAGTTGGTGATTGCTATATTCTTTGTTCTTTTTGTGAGCATTGTACTTATAGAGTCGATTTGTTTTCTTGTATGTTTTATGTACGGGGTTTAGCCAAATGTATACCCTTGTTGCATTGAATGAAATGTTAAAAAATTATTCAAACCATGAAAATGCATAGAGAGATGTGATTGATCCATTTAATTTTGACTAGTCCCGCGCTTTGTTGAAATTATCTTCTTACCATTGGCAAGTAAATATGGACTTGCTAAACATAGAGATGGTAGTTAACTCGTTGAGAATGGACAATTCCACATTTCACCATCACCAAGATATATACATGCAGCGGTTGGATTCAGTTTCTTTTATTTTATTATAATTTTTTCTTAGTTGAGAATATACAGAATAGTAATATTAGTTGAGCAACAATTATCTTTTGTTCCAAGGTATGGAATAGTTACTTATTTGAAGACCAGGAAGCTTAGAATTTCACCTTCTTTCCACCTTCCATAAAATCTCTCCAACTGGATAATGAATTGTGTTAATTTATCCATCTTTTTATGGTATATGTTCTTTTCATAAGAAAAAACACACTGCATCCCAACAAAATTCACTGCAGATTTTAATAGGCCAGTTAGACACACGAAAGAATGTTCCTACTCGTCATTCGAATTTTTTTTCAATAATATTTTAGGACTTATAATTTCAAAATTATTGCACCTAATTTTATCTTAATAAAACACATTATTATGAATATATATATATATATATATATATATATATATATATATATATATATGAGAAGTGTAACTCTTTCCGTATAGTTCTAGGCTTGATTAATTCTGATGTATAATGATAAACATTTTATGGTATAATAGAAGATGTGCCCTCGATAATTATCTTTACTGATTCGTGCTACATTTTGGAACTCAAATTATGCCTTTGTTTTTTTCCAGTCCCTGCAATGCAAAGGTTTATATTTTATTGTTTTCATTTGATAGGAAGTTAGGAGACTGACGTGCGTTAGACCGTTGCTAAGGTTTTCGGATCAAAAGCAGAAGAAGCATACACCAAAAAATAGAATGAATGGGTATTTCATCAGAAAAAAGAAAAAAAGAACTATAATAATTAGCTTCCTATGGTCTAAATTTATATTAGCCTAATTTAGATAAATTTATACAAAAATAATTATGAGAGAAGAAATTTTAAAGGGAAATAAATTAAATCTTTCTCATCAATTAAAATCAACATATATCCTTCATTTTTTTTAAAATAATTAAAAAATTAAAAGACTATAAACTAATTTTAACTTGTAGAAACAATTTAATTTATTTTACTTTCTTATTTTTGTCTCCTATAAATATTTATTAAGAAGTTATTCCAATTTAACCATTGTTTTCCTTCCTTCCAATATTAAGGGTTTATTTTATTGAGATATCAATTTACACTTTTGTATGGGTGACATCCGAAAATACTCAGACAGAAAAGAAAAAGGACTTGCGGGAAGGAAAGTGCAGGTTATCCAACTGAGTGGCCATTTAGTACAATCTGTGCAGGTTTCATCGAATGCTCAGCCTCAAAATCCGTCCTCTCTAGTGTTCGTTCTACTGAGTCTCGTGAATTTTAATGAAACCAGTAACTTGTGATAAATAGAAAAAAGCTAAGAAATAATACTATAGTAATATCATACCTGTATATCAGTAGATATCTTGTTCGGTTATACACATCCTTGCATATATTGCTGTTTGGACATCTCATATTTCCAATTTGTTGACGAAGAGTATTTTTGCCATACTCTGTATAATCGCTGCTATTTCTACTATTGTTTTTCTTTGTTTGATGGGTTTATTGTCTTGCAAGCATAATTTTAAAAAGATAAAACAAATATCAACTTATAATTACAACACAGCCACGCTGACAGTTTGAACAGAGCTAGAACCAGCTTTATTCACAATTCTCTTGGCTTTCATTTTGTTCCTTACAGTTTCAACATCGTCCCACCTTTCTGCTAAAGCATAAACATTTGACAGAGCTACATAGTCCTCGCTCTTCGGAGCTAACACGGTACAACTCTGCTCTTCTAACTGGATAAGAAGCTTCCCCACCTTCTCTCCCCGGACAACATCCCCATGAATCTTGCATGAACCAAGGAAACTCCTCCATATTACAGTATCAGGATTAATTGGCATTCCCAAGATAAAATCATAAGCTTCCTTTAACTTTCCAGCACGACCAAGAAGGTCAACAATGCAACCATAATGTTGAATCTGAGGCATCACACCAAACTTCCTCTTCATTTCATGGAACAATTGAAGGCCTTCTTCCACGAGCCCACCGTGGCAACAAGCTGACAATAAGCTTGTAAAAGTTGCTTCACTCGGCTTCACACCATAAGTTCCCATTTTATATAAAATCTCCAAGGCTTCTTTGCCTCTCCCATGGATGGCTAGGCCAGTAGTCATCGCTGTCCAAGTCAAGATATTCTTCTCATTCATTCGCCAGAAGACAGATAAGGCACTGTCAAGACATCCACATTTTGAGTACATATCCACAAGCCCAGTGCCTATAAACACATCATCTTCGGGAGCACACACTATTTTTTCTGCAAACCCATGTATGCAAGCACCAGTTTCCAGCACACCCAATTGAGAAGCCGCTGAAAGCACAGAAACTATGGTAGTATCTGTTGGTTTAACTCCACTCACATCAATCAACATGTAATTAAACAAAGACAATGCATTAAGAGCACATTTCTTATTTCCTTCCTTTAGGGAACAATAACCTGTTATCATAGCATTCCAGGTAACACTGCTTCTTTTTGGCATTTCATCAAACACACTTCGGGCTGAGATAATATCTTTGTTGTTTGCATAGAAGTGTATTGTGGTAGTTGGAAGCAAAATATTTGACTCAAACCCATGTTTTACTATCAAGGCATGTAGTTGTCTACCTACCCATAAAGTTGAAGCTGAAGGAGAACGAGCACAAGCTCCAAGAACAAAATTGTAGGTGTAATCATCGAAAAACAAGACTCCCCTGGAAAACTCATTTTGGAAAATAAGAATAGAATAATTGGGATGAACACATCTTATCAAAGTATTGAAGAGAAACAAGTCTGGCTTGTCGACGTACTGGAACACCAAATGTGCCTTATTGGCAATGTGCTGATATGGGGACCTACAATAATGCTCAATTAACTTGGCCAAGAAGGTGGGAGATTTCAGTCCATTAATGATTAATTGGGCATGAATTTGCTTTATATTGTTGGTCAATTTGGGAAAAGAATACAAGAAAGAAATGCATCTAAGTCTTGGAAGGCAGCTCAGCATGAGGCAAATTACAACCCGTAAAAGAAATTAAAAATCTTGGCTTAAGAAATTCATTTGATGTTTGAAGGTTTTCTGTGTTATATAATTTCACCTTCATTTGACAACTCATATAGAACTTCTGAAGTTTTATCTGCAGATCATAAATGGCAGACAATGCTGATGTAGAGCCCTACAAATCTGTTGGGGTAGCACCATCCCCATATCCAAGCACTCCGGTGTTTCTATCCAATTCTGATCGAAAACCTTCATCGATTTCATCCTCATTCATCTGAGAAGATCCTTGACTCAATTCAGTTGAGACCTGATAGGCATTTGAGTCAATTCTTCATTTAAAAACAGCTAACCATAAGAAATAATGTACACAATTACCAAAATCAAATATAAGTACCATATACAATTCACCGAAGCAAAATAACAATTTCTTTATTTATTTGGTCAAAATGAATAAATATGGAAGACTCCCAACTTTATGCAAGTTAATTTCCAATCAAAAGAACAAGCCAGAGTAAAAAATCCAATAAGCATTACGATTGTCCATCATTCAAGCACAGCACATTTACTCTGCTTTTTTTTCAGCCCTTTTGGGCCATGCACTTTTGTTCATACACGTTACGATTGTGCATTTTCTTTCCGGGTCATGCACTAAGATCCCTGAAAATGAATGTCAAAAAGAAATTGTGATGCTACTTTAACATTGCTTTTATTCAATTCCTCCATCACTACTATCAATAGCAAAAGCATGGAGCAAATCAAGAGAACAGTTCCCCTGGGCTTCAGTCCCAGTAACTTTGCACTTTCTTAATTTAAGAATCACATGCGGCTAATTGAAGATAATTTATTCCTCACCTGAACACAGTAGCTGCATTTAGATATATGTCTAGTGTCTACTATTTCACCTCCAATCAAAACATTCATTCTGATTTTGCTAAATTATCAGTCACCTATGGCTCATTACTATCACAAAACTTAAGAAAACGATGCTCTCAAAACCTAACCGTAACGCACCCAATTACGAATTTAAACGAAGAAGGTTACACAAAACTATGAAATGCATTTGATTAAATGAACAGGACCATACATATCAACGCAATATTAATGAAGGTAGTAACAGCTAACAATGAAATATCAGAGAAAGCGAGAAAAGTTACCTCTGTCAAGTACAAACTATGGAGTTGAATTCGCGAGTTGCAGAAAGGAATCGCAATATAGCGGAAGCTATATGCTTGGGCGCGTATGGAGAAGAATGTCGAGAATGGCTTAGCCCAATTGCACATGTGGACTGGGCCATTATATAAGGCCCAATAGCTTAGTAATTGGTGTGTCAGTCACGTGCAAGTGCAATGGGCGTGGAGTGTGGAGAAGCGAAAAGGATAACAGAAGTTGGAAGCGAGGAACAAAATAAACTCAACATAACATCCTTCGTTGGTTGGTGTTTTGCCAACGTTACAAAACAAAACGCCGCTTTGTCTTCACTGCACGCATTACGCATACCATATACTATATAATCTTTCAAATGTTTGGGACTCTCGTGTTGGTTCAATTTTTGTGTGTCTGTTAATTTAATGGTTGATGCTTGTTTGATGGGATGGGAGCTCAGAAGAGCATCCATGCTGGCAAAGGTTAGACTAAATATACAAAAGCTTTGTTTGTTTACATTTTTACATAACCGTGTTTTGATATAAGTGTTTTTTCTCTCTGTTTGAGTGGTTTTACAGCAAAGATTGACGTTAATGTTGATTTTACTCACAAGCTATGCGCTTCTTTGATGCTCCCTACCCTCAGGTTTGTGCTGACTGCATTTTACTCAGCACTGTCTTTGAAAATTATTTTTTAAAATTTATTTATATGTTTAAACTCATAAATATCATTCCGGTTTGGTGTTTTGCCTTTTCCCCTAACAGGAGTTCTGGAAGTCCACTTTCACTGGTAATTGGGAGGTAACACTCTTAGTTTTCTTCCTTGTTTTGTCATTTCATGTGAGTGGAATCTTGGTTGGATCTGAATGGCAAAATTTTGAAACTCGATAAGTTTGTGTTATGCTTTGTGTTGAGGGTATTGGTTCTCTCAGAATTGTGTAACGAGGAGTTAAAAAAACTTTTTTTGGTTTTCTGAATAGTCTTTGCATCAAACACCCAAATTTGTTTGGGGGAAGTGAGAAGCTCGATGTTTCGTGGGACAAGGGTCTATACGATTCGAATGTCTTAGTTGCCTATAGAAGACCACGGCCGGAATGGCTTGCTCAGCAGTCTTTTGTATTGCAGGTTGTGTTTTTTTTTTTAATCATTGTATCATATGAAATGGTTGATGATACAAGGTCATGGATGTACAAGAAGTTTATTTTTAAATGGAATTCTCTTTGTGACTTCTGGAGACCTCAAGTTAAATTTAAGTTTTTTCAATCTATAAAACCTACTAATTTGGGGGAAATTTTGTAGCAGATTCTGAATTTCTACTTGTCTCACTTTTTTTTTTATTCTATTCCAGCATTCTCTTTCACCTGAGATTGGGGTCCATGGTATCCCTGTAAACAATTTCTCCCGCTCAGGAAGTGGAGGTGTAAATTTATCTCGACTTTCAGTGGGACTGGACCTGAAGGAACCTGCTAGTTCAAAATGGAGCTGCACAACCGGCTTAAAGTTTGAGGTTCAGCTGGACTTTTCATGAATCTGTGATACTATTAAAGCCAAACCAATGTGTTTTTTTTTTTTATTATTTACATTTCCCTTTGATTTGCTTGTAGGCTAATTGGAAACTAATATTGTAAATGTAAACCATGGTGCAGCATGTTCGTCCGATGAATGACAATGGTCGCTCTATAACTAGAGATTATGATGGGTTTCCTTTGACTTGCAGGTAATTAAGGATTCTAGTATTCTAGTTCTCAAGATATTGAACTGATTTTGATCATATGATGTACATTGCTTGATGCAGTGGCAATGCACATGACAGTATGGTAGTGTTAAAGCAAGAGTCTCGATTTGCAAAGGCGAATGATAATAGCTTTTTTCATGTAATAATATATATTCCTATTTCCAGTTTGCTTCCAAGTTCCTTTATAAAAGTTATTGCGAATCAATTAGTTGCATATGTGTTCTTATCACAAAAGAAATCATTGTGAATGTATTCCACTGACACAATTCCCGTATTTTTCAGTTTAATCTTCAAATAGAACAAGGTATTCCAGTTCTTTCTAAATGGATAATCTTCAATCGATTTAAATTTGTTGCTTCAAAAGGAATCAAACTTGGACCAGCATTTCTCTTGACAAGGTTGGTATTTCCTGACATTTGAAGTGGATAATTCTTTTTCTATTTGACATGGTTAAGAGACCTGAAAGGATAAGTACTATGTGCATTCTGAGAAACAATCTGTTATCTCCATTTCCTCTTTGTGTTGCTTGACAAACAGTTAACTGTGCCAGTATATCCTTTATATGGTTATCATCCCAATCTTTTCTTGTGACAGACTTATAGGTGGCTCAATTGTTGGGGACATGGCTCCTTATCAAGCTTTTGCCATTGGAGGGCCTGGGAGTGTGCGAGGGTATGGTGAAGGAGCAGTTGGATCTGGTCGATCATGTCTGGTGGCTAATAGTGAACTCACACTCCCTTTGGTACGTGATAGCATAATGAACAGCAACCTATAATGTAAAATTGGACAGATTTGTATTTTCCTTTACCTAAGACATTCTTAAACGGCTAAACTTTTCTTTCTTTGATAAAAAAACTTGGTTTCTTCAAAGTTTTGTTTCGTCTAGTGCTACTGTGTCTAGTCAGGTGTTGACCCATTGTTCACCATTTTTGGAAAAAACTGCTTCTACTTTTGTTGTTGAAATATCCAACATCTCTGGTTTTAGTGAATGTTTAGCATTTATGGTAATATATATCCCCATTTGGAAAGAGGTTGACAGGATCATGCAGCATATTCACCATCTTCTTTGGCCTCTTGTTTGTGGCTTTGTGCTTTGCTCATGGTATATTGGTTTTAAAGTTTGAAGTCCTACTGTTAGGTGTCATCTCTTCCTTAATAAATCAAAAAGTTTAAGGTTGCTATCATTCTGTTGAAATTTTCTTGTTCTTAAGACTGATTTAAAGAAACCATTTTCTTTTGTGTGATCTTTTGGAACTGAAATTCTATTTAATTTATAAGAGTTAGCGTATCCTGCCTTCCCACTATGCTTTCACAAGTTGCAATTATTAATGCCTTGTATATGATTGTAAATGTAATATTGCTGAGATCCATTGTTGCCAGGCATGCCTAACCTCTAAACAAACATAGAAAGTATGCATTAACTAACTTCATCTCTTCCATTGAAATTATTTTTGCTTCATGCACGCCTGACAGACAAAATTAAACGCATGCACATTTTCTTTTTAATTTTATTATATTTATTGTTGAAATGAAATGCTCTATACTAAATTACTTTATATCTTTACTATAGAATAAGATGTTGGAAGGTGCCATTTTCTTGGATTGTGGAACAGACTTGCGGTCTGGTCATCTTGTACCTGGTGAGTCATGTTATTCTGCTCAAAATACTCAAATAACTTGCATATTTACATTTCTGTAGTAGGACACATTCATTACAGGCCTTCTCCATATTATTCTATTATCTGTTTTTGTATCTAGTACTGACCATACATAAAAGCTCCATTTTGATTTATTTTGTGGAAGTGGAATAGTAAAGGAAATTGTATGGGCCAATACAAAACTATGTAAATGATTCTTATTCTGTTTTTTCTGTGGTAGGTAGAAGTTGCTAGGAACCATTATAGTTGAAAAAATGGGCTGCACTTATAAGAAAACAAGAGTTAGACCATAACATGGAGTAACAAATATTCCTCATATTTTAGAGTTCTTTCCATACCCAAGCCTTGGAACAAATTCTATGTCTTTTAAATGGGACGGTCATATAAATCCTTAATTAGAGCAGTTGATCCAACATTAGCCATTATATTTCAGTTGCACTTTACTGTGTTGATTTTTTTTTTCTGGTGCAGGGGTGTTTTTGTTGTAGCTTCTGATTTGCTTTCTTCTGTTTTTATCTTAAATTGATCTACTCAATGATGTTTATTTTTGAGTTTTTAGCCCAGACCCATATCAAATGTGCTCTCATAGTGTTGATCTCTTGGAAATTCAGGAAATCCAGCCTTAAGGCAGCGTAAACCAGGATCTGGAGTTGGACTGGGATATGGACTGCGATTTAAATCACACCTCGGTCATTTTCAAGTTGATTATGCCATTAATGCATTTCAGCAGAGAACTCTCTATTTTGGCCTCAGCAACCTTGCTTCTTGAGATCTCTAGACCCGGAGGTTGCAGAACTCTAATGCATTCCCTGAGTGCATGGCTCATACAAAAGATGGAACGGTGAAGCTACCAAAGCTGCAGCAATATTATGTCTTCAATTCATAGCTGCATCAAATTTATGAACTGTTCTCTCTGTTTCTAACTCCACAGTATATTTTGCACGTGGAGAGAGAAATCAGCGTTATATTCTTTTTCATACAATTCATGATAATTGGAGACTTGCTTAGCATTTTTGCAAGGCTCTTGGATTTTGGAAATGAGTGCAGACAGGTTGATTATTTATTGTAGATGGCCTTCAACCAGAAGGAAATAAGATTGTGTTCTTGCACAAGAATGAAAGCATAGAAAACTATTGCTACGTGTTTTGTCAACAGGGTTCCCCTTGGGCCATCATAATCTGTGATTTGGTAGTATACTTCGTAATCAAGCCAGTTAAAGAGGCTATGGTCGCGTGTGTGTAAGATGAGGGGAAAAAGAACTTGCAGTCTACAAAAACTTATAAATTATTAACGTGTATGGTTATGAACCATAAATTTGATAAGTAAAAAAATGTCAACTATTAACGAATTGAGGTGGTAAATAGCAGCAGTCACAAAGTTATGAATGAACCCCACTCAGGATCTTAACCTTTCGAGCATGAGCAAAAGAGTGTGCCTCTCGCCTTTAACACTTCATGCGGGTCATGCAACGTTTGTTTTTTAGCTTATTGCGGTTTTACTTTATCTTTCAGGGTAACTAAACATGCTCCATTTCATCACGTTTGTGGGGGCGTGTTTTGAAGCATCTCAGCATGACTGATCATATACTGTAAATGTCACTCCAATCACATTGAAATGATTATTTTAAAGCTCCTTGGTTTCTTGTAAATTTTTTAGGCTAAAACTATAGCAATAGGCAAAAAATTTTGGGAAGAAGAGATAAAAGCAGGTAGGTTTTTATAAAATATACAGGTGGTAAACAAATATATAGCATAGTTCTCTCTATATTCAGAGTCAAACATGGATTCGGTATAACCAATATGTTAAGGTGAATGCTTTGGAAAGTCACGATCTCTAGCATGCATTATTAATCTTTGAATTCCAGCTAGATTTGTTGGAAATACCAAAACAATTACCATCTTTTTGTGATTTAAGAAGGACCAAGTTTACAAAAGTAGGATTACAACAATTTGAGAAGGACCATGTTTGGAAAAGTAGGATTGCTAGGTTGGTGCTGGACCAACTCTCAACTTAAGAAGGAAAAATCACACGATCAAATTTAGAAAAGTAGAATTACAACTCATTCTCACTTTATAGCTCTTGATTGCTTCTAATCCTTTTCTTCAATCCCACAAAAGCCCCCTTTATATAAAGGGAGAAGGTGAGATGTGGCTTCTTCTAAGAATGGATTAACCCTTTGATTGGATTAATGTTGGCCCAACATGACACGAGTTGTGAGAAAAGATCTATGACAAAGATTAGCTAACGCACAAATGACCGGTAACATCAAAAGGAAGCAAATTTTTCACTTTCATGAGACGGAGTTATCAAACAATACATCCAAACAATAAGTGAATATTAAATACCTCTTCACAATTCTAAGGTCATTAAAAAATGTCTCCACGTTCAAGATAAATACGTATGTTCACAAGAGTCAAGGATAAAACTCTGAAGTCTTGAAATTTTGAACTTTTAGTTTTCATACAGTTGATATCATCAAGATTATCAATAGATTGCGGGTTATGAAAAAAAAATTACCACTTCCACTTTTATGCATAAGAAATAACTACTAAATTTTTTTCATCCTAAATATAAGAAACAAGTACTCTTTTTCAAATGTATTAATTGTTAGTTCATTTTATATTCTTATTTATTAACGTAAATACAATTATTCATTTAATATAAAACATACTAATTTGACCATTTATTATCATGAGTTTTTTTAAAATAGGATATAAATTTATGATATATTACCATTTATTAGTCTTACTAAATTAACTATTTGTTTTTTATAAATACCACTGAAGTATTTAAGTTATAGGTCAATAGTGAAGAGACTCCCAACAAGACTTCTTATATGCTTTTTTCAAATAAAATAAGATCTCATTGTTTAGATTTGTAGACAACGGTCTGTTAGGTGTAAAAAAGTTGTCATAGACCTATGTCTTATGATGCTCATGAAGTAAATCAAACGTCAACTGCATTTTAATTATCTAAGGCCTTATAACTATACTAGAATCTCGTACTTCTAATTTACTCTCTTGTTTTATATTCTGTAATATGATTTTAACGCAATTGTATAGGTTAATTTCTCAATGTTACCGTGAGATTTATGATAAATTTTGTATATCTAACACACTTCTTTTATCAGACTTTTAATAAATAAATAAAGTTATCAATACTACAGTAGCATAAATTTGTTGCTTTGAGAATATTTTAATAAAAGCTTAATTATATTTTTTTTGTAAATTTAACACATTTTATAATAAATTTTTATAAAATTTTTTGTTAAAATTTAGCTTCTAAAAATTAAAAAGTTATGATTTAGTATATGCTGTTAACTTCTCTCTATTACTGTCATGTGACATATTATGTTATTTATTTTATTATTTAAAATAAATATTTTAAAAAATTGATAATAAAGATTAAATCCTAATTTTTTAATATTTTAGGAACTAAATATTTAAAAAAATTATAAAAATTTATTATAAAATACTCTATTTATAAAGATAAAGACATAATTAAACTTTTAATAAACTAATATGAAGAATTTTTCATAATATCAAAGGAGTCCAACAATGTCCTTCCTTTTACCCTTGCAAATTAAGGATAGATTTCAACACTTCTCTTTTAGGTCGTAAAATCAAGTATGCTGCTCTCAAGTTCGAAGTGACAAATACATCATGGTTTTAAATTAAACAATACACTTGAGAAGAAATAGTAATGAAAGTGAAAGAATAAGAGAAGAATTTTTAACAATGATATTTTACCCAATAATTATAAGTTTCTTTTTAACCTTTTAAAAGAAACCAAATCGGAGGTGATAGTCATGATTTTGATATCCTAAACTACAAAAATAAATAGATGAATGATTAGCACTGGTCACTTAGTTCGGCGAGAAAGCACGGTCAAGTGAATGCTAGAAATTTAACAAACCTTGCCCACAAAGCTGTAATCGCTGGGGTATCAAAATATAGAACAAAAATATCAATCAGTAATCTTCCACTAAACAAATTAATTTATACGGATTTACGGTATGCTTCTTTTTAAGTTTTTATTCTAAATCTAAAATATTTATATTTTAACTTACTTGTTTGAATCAATTATAAATAATTATCTTAAATATATTTTTATATTGGATTCAAATTAAAATTTATATACACAATACACACATATATGTGTAGTTATTAGAGGAATTGAAAGTATGACTTATGTCATTATCAAGATTAACAAACAATCAACGAAATTAAATGTGCAACCGATACCTTCTTATTTAGCTTAACTTTCTTTGTATTAATTATGACAATGGGGCAAGGTGAGACAAGGACATGTTTTAAAATTTGGATTCAGTGAAATTAAAAGAGTGTTGTTAGTTTGATCAAATGTAAAATACTAGTACTTTATGTTTTGAACCATGTGTAATTTATATAAATTGCAAAGTACTGGTATTTTAGATCCAATTGCATTAATAACACCCTTTTTTTAATATACTGAATCTAGGTCTCATGGCTTTGCTCTCCTTGTCTCATTCCCTATTAAACCCAACTCCATTTTCTATGGGATCGGAAAAATCTACGAGCAATCCATTTCAGCTTATTTATGTTCCTAATTCAACCCAGTTTATATATATATGAAACAAATTTTAGCTAGATAATAATAGAAATAAACATTAAAAAATAAAGAATAAAAATTTTAAAACTAAATCATATTTTGACAAAATATGTGATTTCAATTTTATTGTCAAACTATTATTATAATTTAAATTACTAATTACTATACTAATTTATCCATTTTTTTAGTCATGATGAGAAGCAATACTATAAGGACAAAGTTAATAATAATTCTTTTTAATAAATATTTTCTCTTTTTATTTTTTATTAATACTCTCAAGACCTTAATTATTACTTGCCTTATAAAAAAATTTAGAATGTGGAACTAAAATACTCTCTCTCTCTCTCTCTCTCTCTCTCTCTCTCTCTCTCTCTCTCTCTCTCTCTCTCTCTCTCTCTCTATTATCTACCCACGTCCGTTTTCACAAATTGGAAAAACTGAAACTAAACCTAGTCAAAACATATTTTTCCACTCAACATTGACTTGAGAAGAACAGATATCCGCGAGTTTGAATTTAATTATCATCGGTACTTCGTATATTTACTTCATTACATTTTCATTTAATGTCATCAACCTTTCATTTTGCTTGACCAGACAAGGGTTTTTTAGTCCTCCCAAGAATAGTTAGATTCCACGCTTCAAAAACTACGGAAACGTGTTCTGTTCTAACTTCTGAGTTAGAATTGGAAAACCACCTCTCTCGAAAGACATGTTTAATATGCCTATAGATCGTTAGGTTGAATTATTTCTCAACTATTAGTGATATAGTTTTATTAAATTGTAAATTTTATGTTGAGTCCGCTAAATAGTGTGAACACTTTACTATTATTGGTGTTGCGATGAATTTTTTAACGACAGAAAGTATATAAAAAGTTGTCAAAGATATGAAAAGTATAATTTCTGTCGTGTCAAAAAGGGCCAATGATTAAATGCATAATTGTCTTCTTTGATTATTTGCTTCTGTTTTCAGGAAGGTGAAGATCACATGTGCCTCCACAATGGTATACATTTCTTTCAGCTCAAGCGAAACTCGGCAAAAAGCCAAAAAGAGCATAGTTTATTCTTTCCCCTTCTTTTTCTTATGAATTTGCAAAAGAAATTGTATAGAACCTGACCAACTAATTTTGGTACCTTTGCGTCGCGCTTTCACGAGCATTTTTTTAAATATATAAACAACCTTTAATAATGGTTCATTTTTCAAGTGAAATTCGGGATCAATGCCAAAATTTGGTGGCAAGTAAACAACTTACCTACCCTTTTCTGCTATTCCTACTCCCCAACCAATCCGCAAGTTAAAAGAGCATCAGCTGATTTAAGCAACCATTTATAATACTAACAAGTTCTTAAAACTACTTCCTCTTTAGATTAATTTTTCTTAAGCAGTCTATTATTTTATAAAGGTTAAGGTTAATAAAATCAAACTTTATTTTATAAAATTTGTATCTAAAACGTTCAAATTTTGCGTTAAATAAAATTAAACATGTCATTATTTAGATTATTAAACACCGACATCGGAAAAAGTGTTCATCACACGTTACTACATTTGTCTAGTTTCGCATTATGAGATCAGAGATTACGTAAAAATAAAGAAATTCAGGGATTATGTGTTACAAGCTAACAAAGTACAAGAACTTGATCTCTTGTTCGAGCCGACACATGTTTACTACTTGTTTGAATTTATGTTATTTGATTCAAAGTTATTTTAATATTATTAATTATAATTTTATGTTGAATTTGGTTTATAGAATTTTTAACATGTTTTTAAACATGCACTTAAATCGTCGAAAGAAAAAAAATTATTATATTTTCTCAATATTATTTTTACTATTTTAAAAATAAAAATATATTAAAACTTTTTATTGAACAGTTAAAAAATTTGCAAGATTAAAAGATGAATAATTTTATAATTTTGTTAATTTAGTTCTAAGTTAAATTTAAACATCTAGAAATAATAAATTATATTAATATATATATATATATATATATATATTATACTTTTGTAACTTCAATGTAATAAATGTATTTTCTAAAATAAAAATTTAAGATTAACAAAATCAATAGTTATAAATCCTTTTAATATGCTTGTAAATTCTCGTATTATTAAATAAAAAGTATTAAATATTTTTATATTTTCAAAATAAAAAATATTTTTATTTAATATAAAATAATTAGATTGTTACAAAGATTTATAAAATGATATAAAAAAAGTAATTTTTTCAAAGTGTTTTAAGACGCATTATAAACAATAAATAAATAAATATTTATTAAAAATTATATTGATATTTTAAATTTTATGATATCACTGTCTTTGTAAAAAAAAAAAATTGATTGTATATATTCTTATAATGTATTTTAAAACCACGATAGAAGAATTGTATAAAAAAATTCATAAAAGATAGGAGATTTAAAATTACAAAAAAGGAAACATGGAGGCCAACTGTGTTTGTGTGGGCCCTGTTACGGCAAATAAAACAAAGGGATGCGACTTTATCGTCCTTGGCAGTGGCGCATCCCTAAATGGTAATGTTGGGTTGGGTCCCCTTTTGTTGACACCACCGACAACTTCAAATTTGTCGCGACTCACATGCTTATTTATGATGATCAATTGATGATGCTCATGCTCGAGTTTAATTAAATATATTATGAATTTAAACAGTTAATTAATAGCTATTTGTACAAGGCCATCGCCGCTTCCGCGAAACCTGATTGCTTTCACTTTTCAGACTGCAAATGATATTCATGTGGTGCCAAAAAAAGAAGTGCAAATGAACACAGTCGAGCGACTACACCAAAGTCCCCGTGATTATAGTCCAATCTTTATAAGCATGACCAAAAAATAATAATACATATCTCGCGTTATAAGAATAAATAATATTTCGATGATATAACTCATTCTAGCTACCCAAAGGAAAGAATCTGATCCCATAACTACTACACACAAATTATGCACGATGATGTATTTATTCTTTTATATATTTATCCAATACAATGAAAATTTGATACTTTTCTTTTCAAAGAAGGGATCGTAGACTAATAGAAAGACACAAAAAGAACTAAAAAAAAAATAGACAGCCAGTGGAATCGAGAAACAGGAGATGAAAATAGCAGGGTTGCAAAGGGAACAGCGGGAAAATGGAGAAGCAATTGGCCAAATTTGGGCATAGCATCTTTTTTTTTTTTCTCTCTTTCCAATAATTCCAGCCACTGTTGCTCAAGTTTTGGCACAGTAGCTATTTTTTCGTCCAAAAGTAGTAACATTGTAGGCCTTTTTTACCAATGTTTTTACGAGACTCATATGTACAAAACCAGTCCACAAAAGGCAAAACTACGTACATAATCCTCTATAGCAATTACTTAAGCACTTGCACCAACTAAATACACTTGACTAGAGCACCCGGTTTTCTTTTTTCAACTCAGGCAGGTGTTTACCTGTTTCTTGGCTTTCTATTTTGATTTGAGCCCTCGTCAACGTAATCTTGAGTCTCTCAATTTCGGAGTTCCAAGTATTATATAAGGATGTGGGCCGTTCGTGCCTCTTCAAACTATACACCCCCGTCAAGCTACATTCACAGCAACAGCAAGCAATATCATCTTATTCTCACCATAAATCTCTTCACCGACCTTTTCCACCTGCCAGAATAAAATTTTGACAGAACAAAGTTATCTCAACGGCAGAATCTAACACAAAAATTAATTTTAAAAAAATCACACAAGATAGGGAATGCAATACATACTACTTCAGATTTGGCTAGCCCAAGTATTCATTTATCAACTACAGTTTTCACCAAAAAGAATATAAAGCACATACTAGTCTAGCCCCACGATTTTGACATTCAGAACAGAATACAACTACAGGACGTCATAAACCCTTTTTTTTTCTCATCTCAAAGCAAGACATGAACACCGCAAATGCCAAAAGTAATTGAACTCTCCACAAACTGAAAGAGAACCCCGTTCCCAAGAAAGCATTGATCCACATATAGACATACATATGCCAAAAAGAAAATTTGAAGTCCCTCCAAAACTCACTGCCCCCCAATCTTAAACAGGCTTTCATTCCTACCTGGGTCTGTGTTTGGAAAAAAAATGAAAAATTTATAAACCTATATTTGGTGCACAAATTAAAATTAGTAATGACGTTAAAGTAAATTAAACTAAACGTTAATCTAAATACATTCAAACATGAATCCAAACATGTTATAAAGAGGAAACCTCTTAAATATCATGGAATATTTTGAAGAAAAGCACACAACACCAGCATCAAGCTCAGATCCTAACACACATATAAAGCTGAAAAAGGACACATCCATTCTTCAACTAAGAGTGCAAATTGACATCAGCAAAGTTCCCAACTTTTTGACCACCCAACAATCTGTGACTCACAAACCCCAACACACTGTATCCAATCCATCGCTAACCGCAGCTAACACTAACAAATCACACTTAAAAAAACAACGTACCGAGTTAATTTTTCAATCCCTGAAAATGACAGATTTGGCAATGCGCAACAAGGGTTCCAAGCAATCAGGGGTGAATTTCCGGGCAAATAAGTAAGACTCGGAATGATTGGACTTTCGCAGCCGGAGAATGAGCTCCGACGACACCTCAGCCGGCCGATATGTATACGGGTGACCATTGACGGTGCCGGTCCAATTAACTCTGGTGAGGGTGTACTTAGTACACCCATCCAGATCCATCATGGAAAATAGCGTGGGAAAATAATGCTCCTCTGGGTAGCACTCGTCTTCACGGTAACAGGGGATCTTGAATTTCCTCCAAAGGGTTCGGTCCTCGATGACAAGCAAAGCGTGGCGACGAGTGAGGGTGAAGAACTGAGATCCAACGCGGAACTGATCAAAGGGAACTTCTGGCATCATAGCAAAACGACCCCTAGCGACGTAGCGTTTCCATAGTTTTGGGGAATCGGAGAGAATTTCGAGGAAGCTTTTGTATTGAAGGCGAACACCGAAGCGAGAGGAATCAGGGTCGGAGGAATCGAAGGTTGGGGAAAGGAAGAGGGAGCGGTAGAGGTAGGTGAAGGAGTGGAGCGGGATGCAGTGTTGGGAGAGAAGGGCGAAGTAGGCGTTGGCGGGGTCGTCGAGGAGGGCGGTGGCGAGGAGGCGGCGCGTGGCGGAGATGAGAGTGGGGGAGGCCCGGAAGGTGCGTTTGGCGGGGATGAATTTGTTGGCAAAAAGGGGGGAAAGGGGGCGCGTGAGGTTGACGGAAGGGTCTGCGTGGATGTAAATGTTGAAGAGGTTTTTCGGGATGTTGTGGAAAAAGAGGTCCCAGAGAGGGGAAAAATGGAGATCGGAATTAGTAAGGAAGAGGAAAGCGATTTTCAGGGAGGGTTTTTTGGAGGAAAGGTGAAAGAATTTTGAAGGGTTATTGTTTGGGTTGGAATTAGAGTGTGCGATGGCGCGGTTGAAGAGGTTGATATCATCGAGTTCATCGGACGGGGAAATGGGGATTGTGTGAGGATGAGGAGGGAGAATTCGCGGTGCGAGGAAGAAGAGAATTGGGAGAGAGAGAAGAAGAGAGAATGTCAGAACAAATGGGGTTGAAAACATCGAGTTTGGGGCAATCCTCAATTGAGGGAAAATGCTCCACTGCCACACTCCGACGCCGACTCGTTGAGAATGGTCTGGAATTGTGATTGCTAATTGCTATTTTGAAAAGGGGATTTCAGGGGTTAGGGTTAGGGTTCGTCGTTTTGTTAATGTTTTTTGGGGGGGTTTGAGTGAGTAGGGTTGGTTGGAATATGGAGAGAAAAAAAGGGTTGAGGTTTGTTTGATGAAGAAGAGTTGAGAAGATGATGAATTTGGTTGGGGGGTGGGTACAACCTACGGAGGGGTTGGGATTTTTCTTTATTCCACTGTAACTGCTGGATGTTACCGTACAACAAGTAACGCCGTTTATTTCTTTCGGGAATTCAAATTTCATAACCGTAAAAACAAAATATGAAACTACTTACGGATACTTTTCGCCCATCGTTAACAATAACCAATTTTCGCCCATCGTTAACAATAACCATGTTACTTAAACCTAACCCCCAAATCGTATTCCGTAACATTCTACTTTTAGAAAAACGATCGTCAGAAATTCTTGCCCAGAGTGATTTAATAAGGATTTTATTTTTAACGAAACAGAGTCGTTTTATGTTGATGAGTGACGGAAAATGTAAAAATTAATTATTATTTTTTAGCAAAAAAATTATGTTTGAATATATATTACGAATACCTAAATAGCATTTAATTTTGTATCAACGCATTGTTTGATAAACTTAATTATGTCACTAACTACATTATTAAGTACACATGTAATATTTTTTTGGAATTATGCTGCATTAAAATCAAATTCAATTAATAATAATTGAATGGAAATTAATCAAAGAATTGAAAAGGCATCAAATTGCGCTGACTTTGGGAAGGACATATCACGAATCTCCTCTTTCGTAGATCCGATTTTAGTTACCAGTTTTTTTAATGAATGTTTAAAGGTATATAAAAAATTAATTAACATTATTTTTAAAAATTATACAATATTTAGTAGTATAAATATATTAGATTTTGTAATTATCTTTCAATAAAAATATTACATATACATTTTTATTATTTATTTCAATAAATCCTAAAAAATAATTTAATTAATTAAATTGAAACGCGTCCGTCGTGCAGCTGCTTTGCTGGATCTGCTTCTCATTGTGACTGGCTGACTGCAGGGGGTTTTAAATAAATTGAACCCAAATTTCAGGCATTTATTTATTTGCATATCCTTATCAATCACATCCCATCACTCGTTTTTCAATCTAAAAAGACGTCATAGTCCAAACAGCAAAACCAAAACTACAACCTTAATTGTACAGTGAACGTATGCAGAAAATAAAACATGATCAAATAATTAAGGGTATTTTGCCGTTTTAGGGTTAATTTGAAAAAACTTATTTAAATAAAGTTTCATGAAAATAAATTTTTGGTCTAGAGTTGGGATTCACGTGGCAAGAGAATTGTCACTCTTTTGGACAATACCAATTAAACGCTAAAAAAAAATTAAAATAATTCAAAAAAAATCACAGATAGGGAAGAAAAGGAGACACTTATGTAAATCGTAGGAGTGTCGGCTGGTTCATAACCATCTTTAGTGTTGGCTGGTCCAGAGTCATCTTCAGTGTCGACTCGTTCAGAGCCGTCTTCAGTGTCGGCTGGTACAGAGCCGACTTCAGTGTCGGCTGCGTCAGGAATGACACAACCGTGATTGGTCCACGTGACATTGCAGTTTGACTGTTTAGGCGTGGCTCGTTCTTCCTCTTTTCTTCTTCTTCGTTAGCGTATCAGTTGCATAACATTCATTTCAGGCTCCTGAAAAAAAAATAGCATTGCCTACGTTTGTTGGGTCTGAATTTTCAGAAATTTGAAGAAAAAATTATTATAAGGTAAAAATAATAATAAATCAAATATAATTTAGTTTTTAAATATGAGATTGCATGCATTTTACATTGAGATTATGGTGCAGGTCATTTTCTGGGTGAGTGGGTGGCGGTCGGTGGAGTTCCTGAAGAAGAAAGTATATATTCTATTTAGTCTAGCGCAGGTGCACAATTATTTTTTTGTTTTTTAATATTTAAAAAATTAATTTCTATATTTTGTTAGATATAAAATTTTAGATAATGCTATTAAAAATTATATAATATAACTATTATTGTTTTATAATTAGTTGTTTAAAAATGTATTAAATATAAATTATAGTAATCCATAATATGTATTTAATTATTAAATAACAAGAAAAATTTTGATTGTAATAAATTGATAAATTAAGAGGAAAGAAAAATATATATATATAAATAAATATAGTTTAAAAAATTGAAAAACATGATAATGAAAAATATATATTCACATGCAGTAAAAATATTAAATAATAAATGTAAGAGAAATAAAAATTTTTGTTCTTTGCATAGTAGATTGATATATAAAAAAATTTGTTGACAAAAAATAACATTAGTAGTAAAAATAATATTTAGTTTTTGAATATGTGTAAACATAATATTTTTATTAAAATTATTGATAAAAATAACATATACAGTTATATTATAATTATATTTTAAAAAATAGGTTCATTAAAAATTAACAATAAATAATATAATAAGTATATCATCAAATATATTTAAAACATTACATATTTGCTTGAAAGTTTATGATTTAAAATTTTAAATAAATGGTATTAGAAATTATATAATATAATATTAAATATTTATAATTTATTAGTTAAAGAATGTATTAAATTTAAATTTTAGTAAGTCAATAATATATTTTAATTATTAAATATTAAGATAAATTGTTATAGTAATTAATTGTTAAATTAAAAGGAAAGAAAATTTGATATTAAGATATACGGTTCAGAAAAAAAAATAAAAAGCATAGTAATGAGAAAAAAGTATATGAAATGCAGTAGAATGGCCAAAATTTTATACGACCCCGGAGAAATAATAAATTCTTATATTTTGATGGTAAATTAAGATATAATCAAGAATTTGTGACAAAAAAAAATATTAGATATAGTAAGAATAATAATTAGTTTTTAAAATTTAGAGTACATAAAAAATTATTGATCAGAGTTAATTGAGTGCATGTAATTACATTTATAGCTATTTATTATAATTGTAAATTAATATTTAAAAGTTTTTAAATTTTTAAAAATTATTTAATATAATAATTAAATGAAAAAGTTTTTTATGTTAATTTAAAATTTTGTTATTGTTATAGTTAAATAATTGTAATAAAAATTAGTTAGTAATGAAAAATAAAATGATAAACTTATATGTTTTTTTAATCTATTCATTTTAATGTACATAATTTCAGTTGAAGTTGACAAATTTTATTTTAAATGACATCATCTTCATCGCAGAGTAGGGTTTTAAGTCCTGACCCAGAGGATGGTTCATTATTGAGGTATCAGTCTGTTTACGTATCGAAGCATATTTGGGATGGACGTGAGCACCTAGTTTTAAAGGTGAGAATGAGTCACTTCATACCAGTTGGCATGGAAGGGGTTCCAGTGGATATATTTCCTCATCTAACCTTAGCTGGATTTGCTGGAGTAACTCAGTTAGCATGCTTTCCTATTGACCGACATCTTATTACATCCTTGGTTGAAAGATGGAGGTCAGAGACACATACCTTTCACATGCCTCATGGAGAGTATACTATAACTCTTCAGGACATTGTTATTTAGACAGGACTTTGTATAGATGGAAAGGCAGTGATTGCAGCTATAGAAGGTGACATGACACAAATTGTGAAGGATTTGGTTGGTATTAGACCACCTGCTGATATATCTTGGCAATGCAACATAAGATTCGTCTCAATCACCAAAGACAGTAACTATTGCTTTTTATTTTACTTTTCTTGCCTTCTTGTACGAAATTGAATATCCAAATTGACCACTAATTCTCTCTTAAATTAACGAAATTGGCACTGATGGTTCTTCTTTCACCATACCTGCAACTCATATAATGAGGGAGTTTTTAAATTTGTTGGGATGTAATAGGATGAAAATTAGTATATTTTTTTTATTTCAAAATAATAAAATTTAATATAAGATTAGACATACCAAGAATGCATGAACAAATAAATTTGGAATCCAACTTTTAGTGGTCTTGAGAGATTGAAGCATTTACGCACGTATGGGCACTACCCTACTTTATAATTTTCCATTTGTCTGCATTTTTTGGCAATGATGCTCGAACTCTCCAAGTACATCCACTATTGTGATTGACACACTTCACAACATATGTTGTTGCTTTTGACTCCACTACAAAAAAAGTTTGATGTTTCCTCATGGTGTAATGTTTTACAGCCATTCTTACATCTTCTTTAGTGTCAAATAGTTGTCCAACATATAATGCATCTCCTTCCTTCCATGATTGCGCGTCATTGATACCAACAAAATCCAATTCTTGATCAGGGTGTTCCCAATTAATATGACTGTAATGTGGAGTTATATTCCAAAAGGGCAATGTTGTTTCTGTATTACAACAACTCATTCGTCAAACTTATACCCTAATTAACAATTTATACATTACTATAAATATAAGTAATGAAAATATATAATTTAAATCACTATCTAAAATCATACCTCCTTGTTGCTGTTGTATTGAACTAACTTTTACAATACCTTCTATATTGATCATTGAATCACAATCATCATTTGTCTCAGTATCTGACAAATTATTTAATGAAATATCTTCTTCATCTTCATATTCATCATTTTCATATGTAAATCGTATATTGTAAACTTATATTATTAATTAAATTTACAGCATCAATTTTAAAAATTTAAATTAAATAAATTCATATTGTCTTCTATTGTGGCATAATCATCATCATCACTTCTATGAATATGTGAGAGTGATAAATTCACTTCTAACGGACGTGCCACAACAGAAGATGTTTCACGACCGCAACATCCACATATATCTCAACTACATTCCTATGATGTTATTGTTGACAATCATGCAATCTATGTCTTCATCGTCACATACATCTAGAGTTGTATGATATCGATCATTTGTCCTAACTAAAATTCGTGAAATTAATCTAGAAATTACGTAACAACTAGACAGTTTCAGTTTTGTGTGAATCTTCCTTTTAAACATCTCAAGTGTGATAACACATTCTATCTTAATCATCTTTTTTTCCCCTTCAAAAATTATACCCTCATTTCCTTCATATATTCTACCATTTGAATATAATATAGCAACAATTTCATTCATCTTGCATTAAAAATAAGTCAAGCTCATTTAAAAATTAATTTATAATATAATAAATTATATTTATAAATTCATTTCTAATTACAAATATTTAAATATTTAATTTTTAAATAACACAAAAAATTAAATTACAAC